GGGCTCCATGCGTCAAGAACGATGCCCCGGTCGCTGAAACCCTCGTGGTTGGAAAGTGTCAGAAGTTTTTGGGATCTCTGAGAGCGCTGAAAATTACCTCCTAACCTTCTGCAGCCCACGGGCCCACATCGTACCCCCACCACCAGCATGCCTAGACTAGGACAAGTTTGTGCACGAAACGTGATATCCGAACTGCCAACTAGGCAACATATTGTGGACTGGCCTTGGGTCTGCATACCCAGCCTGGATCCTGAGCGTACTTCCGGCCCAGCCGGGCATCCAGCCACATCTGGTACCACTCTGCGGAAACACAACTCCGTCACGAGGTGCAGCGCACGCCGCCAGCCCTGTGCAACACCCGCACACTCGCAGAACGGGAAAGTGTCATGTATCCCATTTGCCAGTTGAGTGGGTTCAGGCAACCCATCTGCAAATAGTTTCATTGTGCCTGCATGGCGTATTCGGCAACTTCATACAGACGAGTGTACATACAGCGGGACTCCACCTTCGACTCTGACTTCTCTCTACCCCCGGTCCTATAAACCTCTAAAGACCTCTGAAGCCTAAACTCATACAAGCAAGAAATCCTCCAAATCCTGATGTCACATATTATTCCTATCCGTGATACCCCAGGAATTCAAGCCCCCCGGAAGCCTTACAGAAATCCTGCTAGAAGCCTACCTAATGACTCCCCAGATATCCCCAGATCCTCAAAGTAGAAATCCTAACATAACATACCTACACCCACCCCTGTGCCTTGAAGTGCAACCCTCGACACCCAATCTCGGCCTTGACTTGGCCGCTACATGCGCTGATAGTGCTGCCTGCGCACCGTGCACTCACAAGCTTTCTTGCACGTATACATGCACATGAAACTGCATATGCTTCAGTGTGTATGCATTCAAACCACACATACAAAGCGGCAACGTATCTGATCTACTTTCAGCGGGACGATGCACTACCCAATCATCCAACTATAATCATCTATGCCTATCGATTCAGCCAGCCCAACCTGTGTGTGTGCGCATCACTGGCATCTACGGCAACTGTACGATTCAGGCTTTGCCACCCCTGCCTAGCAAAACCCGTAACTCTCAAGCCTTAAAACCAGGAAAAGCCGTTAAGATCCGAAACCCTCAGCTTAGGCTTCGACTGCACAACAGCAGCATGTGCACAAAGCATTTGAGGCCATGGCCATAGGCAACGACATCGACGCCTGCCATGTAAGGACTTAAAGCTTGTCCCGTGCATAGGTTTAGGGTTTCGACTCTCACTCTCGCACGAAGCAGGCAAGGCTCCAGGGTTTGGTTTTTTCGACTTCGTGTATATTTTGGGGTTTTGTCGCCACAAGACATGCAGTATTTTGCGGTTGAGGCTGCAGGGTGCGGGGGTCCGAGGGACACGGGATTGGCTATACCCCACACTTGGACTCGCCAGATGAGGCTACTTGCTGCCAGTCGGGTTAAATGCAAGATGTAACATAACATTAAGGGTGTACGCTCTCACAACTCAGTCCAGCGAGGTGAGGGCTCTCGATTCGCAGTCGGCTTTGACTAGACACCACACTCTGCTGCCATGGAGCTAAGAAAAAGCTAAGAAAGAGATGACATACCGCAGTGAGAGTAGTGCAGCAGACTATGGTCAACTGTGGACCTCTGACCCCTGTCCTACTGAGCCTCTGCTTCTCGGCCTGGAATCTCCAGACTTCAGCGCTGCAGCGCATGGGAAGCAGACTGTCATCCTGCAGGTCTGTGGAGGACTTCGCGAGAATCCGCGGCACCTTTCCTGCCTCTGTCTACTTGGAGGATCATGGGACGTAGTAACTAGGGTTATAAATAAGGTAGCTATAATTATAACCCCAATTGGGGTACTTATAACCTTACTTACTAAGTCCCATGATCCTCCAAGTAGGTTCGAGCGGGGTCGCTATCAGCCAGCAATAGGAGCTTCAGCCCTTCAGATTACTGTGTGCTCGTCCATCAGCAGTTGGACCAGAAGGGGCGCCCACTTCTGACGCTGAGGCTTGCACAATACCACCGCAAGAGCCCATGAATGCAAGACCATTAGGATGTTGGCGCACATGTTGGAGCTCACCAACTCTTCCGTCAAATGGAGCCTGGCCTCTGCTATCAGTTGCTGCTGAGGGCATCAACAGCATGATGCCAGACACGGTTGCTGGCCGCTGGCGGTGCATCCGCACTCCGACAGTTCTTGCAAGATCTGGCAAGCTGCAGTCGCAACATTCACCGTCCGGTCTCCGATCGGCAAAAGTAGGGCAAGAGTTGGAGGGGCGTCCTCCATCGCCACGGACTCCTGTCGATCATGACCGTCTTGTTGCTCTTCGCCATGGGCATCCTCCGACGTGGGACGTGGGAGACTCATCCCACGCTCCACCACCCTCGCTTCATTGCTGTCGTCCTGTAGGGGCAAGCATGTGCATCCGGTGCTTGCCGCCCCTGAAGGACGACCGCAACCAAGCGAGTGCTGGTGAAGGCCGGGATGAGTCTGTGCCGGGCTCCTCGTTCGGCGGAGTTTCCCGGCGTTGATCGAGACATCTCGAGACCGAAGCACATGTCGGAGCGGCGAAACGGAAGCCCTCAGGCACATCAACCGTCCGATCTCCGATCGGCAAAAAACGGCAGAAGTTGGAGGCGCGCCTTGTGCCACCACGGGTTCCTCGCTCGCTTCGCTGCTGGTGCAACCGCAATGTCGGGCCTTGGTGTCTGCCAGATCTTCCTGGCTCGGTTGAGTATCGGTTCATTCACGGGCTCCTCGGCAGCACATGGCTCTGCCAGCGGAGCCGAGATCAAGTTCTGGTTGGCATCCCGCTGCAGCATTTCAACCTCTCGACATCTACCTCCGCCATGAGTCGCACCTGCTGCTCATGGAGGGAGCGCTCCCTCTCATTCCGAAGTTCCTGCTCACGAACCTCCAGCTTGAGCTTCAAAGCGTCATGGCTTTTCATCGCCGGAGATCTGTCGCGGACTGCAGCTCTGTCACGTCGGTCTCCAAGTCTCCCAGCTTGGCGGTGCACTTGCTGCGCTCTGTCCACAGCTGAACGGCATGGTCATCGGGCAGGCGGGTGCTGGTGTCGCTGTTGGCGCTGGTTGCCGTCGTTGCTGCCAGCGCTGATGCGATGCTTCACTCCTTTCTGATCGACTCTCGATCGTGTGCGCAACCTTGCACTCCACCTAAAGGCGCTCTTCCATCCGCACAACTGCATCGAGAAGAGTCGTCTGAAGTTGCTCTTTTGCCAGCACAACTGCGGCATTCAGGGTAAAGGCCGGTAAAGTAGATCACCCCCGTGTCCCCGGAGAGTCGGCATCTTGGCGCAGGGATGACACCGAAGTTGCGACCTTCGCCGGCCCATGGCTGCTGAAACGGAGCCTCGCTGGCTCCCGAAAGGTGTGTCCAGAGAACCTGCGGCTTTGTGCCTTCCATGCAGCGCGCTTCGTGGTTCCTCGACGCAACACTCTCCGAGGGGGGCCTTGCGACCCACGTATGATGTGTTCTAAGTCCAGGAGTCTGGGGCGGGAAAGCGAGAAGAAAAGCGAAAGCCTGTGAACATCACATGAGTTCTCATGCAGAGTGCGGACTCCAGCTACACCCCAAAGCCCTTATGGCTGCCTATAAGCGTCAAATCCGAGGCCAGGAGCACCCAGGCAGGCGGAAGATCTGGAGAGCTGGAGGGCTCGAGACCAGAAGCCAGCCTGCTGCATGCAGAAACCAACTACGAAGCACTTTGCAGGTCTTGGATCACTGCTGAGCTCGCGAGCTTTTCTCAGATTCCAAGCAATCCGCGCCAATGCGTCAAACAAACTGGAGGCTGCTTGTGTCGGAGTCCCACGTGTAGACGGCTGCCGTAGTCATGTTCTTGGAGCACCATGTAGCCGGCAGTTGTGGGCATGCCACGCACTCGCCAGGACAATCTTCTTGTGGAACAGCAAAGCTACACATGGATGCGCCGTCTACACTGGAGGAAGAAGAGGACACGTAACCGGCCCAAACAGTTCCTGTCCATACGCCGCGTTGACATAAGGCCGCGCAGCGAAGTCCCAAAGCACCGGCTTTAGGTGGCCCCGTCACCCAGTCTTCAGGACGGATGCCCTTGCACCCCTTGTAGGCAATCGGGTGAGGTAGTTCTCGGTTCTTCCAACTGGTAGTGATGTTCACCTGTGTTTTACTCAAAGGTGCGAGTGGGACAAGCTCACAAGAATCACCTGCACAAAGCTGCAATGAGGCGTCGTCTAGCAGCGTCAAAGCAACACCGACCGTTCGCCATGGGGATGGACAGCACGTTAAACGTGAAATCCTCGTCACAATACATGCCAAGATCAGCGCTTGCGTCAGTCTGGTTAGTCGAAACAGTCAGCCAGCCTGCTCGACAGTCCACTGGAGACTTCGGAGCATGAACACAGTACTGCCCCACCATCACACCAAGTGAATCAACCACTCCAAGACAACACTGACCACCGTCAGGCTCAAGATCAAGCCCGAACGCCACGTTTGTTTGCCTGGCAACCGCTATGAGTGCCGATCCCCCCTCTGCTTGGATCTGGAAACGGGACCCTGCGGAGACGGTGTTGCAAAAATAGTAGTCTTGGTCTTGCACTTGCAAAAACGGTTTTCGCCCCGGCAACGGATAAAATACGCAGCGGGAGTCGCACTCTTCGACGGCGCAGTTCCAGCCTCCATCCCAAAGGCACGGATGTAAGTACTGGCTGGGTCACTAAAGACGTTTGGAGGTAGTGACTGTGGCTACCTCCAAACGTCTTTAGTGAAGCCCAGTATAGCTGAGCACTGCCGTAAAACTGCACGGCCAGGAAAAAACCGAAGACCTCTCCCAGCTGTAAGAAACCGGCGCCATTCTCTCGATAGGTCTCGAGCAAAGGCTTGACGCCTGGAAAGCCTCTCCCAGCCATTGCATCTTGGATTTTGCTCAGTTGGAATCCGATACCTCGCGTCGGTTCCAGGATGTCGTTCTGCAACTGTTCCAATGTTTAATCCGGTAACGCCCGCGGGTTCCGCAGCAGCGGGTTCATGTACGTCTTCTGGATGTACCTAATCTGCTGGACGGCATCAATAGCTTCGCTTGCCAATATGCTCAAGTCGATCTTGCCTGCCAGCTGTCCTTCGATGATTGAGAGGTCAGCAAGGAGGGCCGCGCCCACAGCGAGAATGCCAGCATCCAGCTGAGAGATCGCCTTGGCAATGGCTTGGAGTCCTTCCCCGATTTCCTTCACCATCTTCTGCAAATCGGAATCCAGCTTTTCGATGTCCGCCCCCATTGAAGCAATTGCTTGTGAAATCTTGGCAAAATTGATGTTCACATTGAAATCGACAGGGCACTGGCTGCAACAAGCAGCGATGCCACAGTTCGTCTTGCCCAGCAACGAACCATCCAAGCGCGTGGAGCCCTGGCCCTTCCAGGTCGATCGCTCCAACAAGACCACGTCCGACGATCGTCCCCAAGTAGGACAAGTCAGTCCGACAAGGCAATAAATCAAGACCAGAAGCTTCTTCCACGGCAAGCTGGTCATGGCTCAAATGGCCAAAAAAAAGCGCCCGGCTTCTGCCAAATCCAAGCAGTCGTCCATGCTTTTGAGCCAAAATCCAAAATCAACCCAGGCGGTTTCCTTCGTGTTTAGAGAGCTCACTGAACGAGCAGTCTGAGATTCTGGCCAGTTTCGAACGAATCACTATCTGTGACGCTCACATAGTGAAGGTTCCAGAATCGGAAGGCAGCAGCGTGCGCTCTGACCAGCGGTGCCCAATGCCTTGCCTTCTCCTGCGCAGAGAGGACTGTGTTGCCTCAGGCAGATAACATTCGTGTCTGACACCTGCTGCAAGGAATGGCGTAGCGTCTTTTCGCGTCTCATGACACGGGTGGAAACTCATTGGAATCCTGGTCCCTTCCTACTCGTGCAAACCTGTGCAGAATGCCATGTCTCTTGGAGACCGCGTTGGCAATCATGCCTCCATGCTTTCTGACTAGAGGCCCTCGCCATAGTTTGAACTCCTCAAACTGGCGTGCTTCAGGCAAGAGACTTTCTGGGGCCTCAGGCCTGCCTGCTCCAATTCCAGCACCGAGGCCTTGGATGCGACCTCCATCTCCCGCAGCCTCGAGTCCAGTTCCCGACCTAGCCGTGACTCTTCACAGGCAGCCAGCGCTCAAGGGCAGCGCATCACAGTTGCGCCGCCTCTCGCCAAAAGCCCTACTTCTCCTCCTCGCACATCACCTCCCGCCATGTCCGGGAGTGCGACCGGGCCCTGGATCTTCCAGTTGAGATGATCTGGTGACTCTGCTCCGTCTTAGGGCCATAGAAGCGCAGCCACGCCAGGAAGAAGGCTCCAGCGCATCCTGGGACGAAATACTATACTTCACTGCGCCCTACTGCACCATATACTACACGGTTCTATACTGTACGATACTAGAATTTTACTATACTCTACTCTACTATACTGTGTTATTCAGAGAGAGAGAGAGAGAGAGAGGAATCAGTCATGCACGGTGCGGCCAGAGCACATGCGCGCCGAGGCGGTCTCGGGACGCCCGGCTGCCTCTGGTGAACAGCATGCTTCAGAAGGCACGTTTTTTAGGGGCCTTACTAATTAGAATAAGATGTTGATGTATATTATACTATAATCATACTAAGGAGCCCTCAAAATAGTTTTTGGTGTTTATTTAGGCCCCCATCTTATATATCTTTGGAGCTCTCATGTTCCTGCAGTCCCTGCATATTGCTCCATGCCTACAACCCTCGGAATGCCTCCTGCGCGAGCTGCTGGCGGCGCTGCTCCAGCAGAGAGACTTCACCCGGCAAGAAGCCGGGGAGAGGGAAGGAGACGAGCACCGCCTGTCACTTGGCGAGGCAAAGCTTGGCCCTGGAGCGGATCTTAACCCAAGCGCCTGTCCTCCTAAGACTCTGCGTATAGAGTATAGGCTCAATTCTGACCGCATGTGGGCTCGCCTCGTCCTTGGGGTGAACCTGAGCACGCACGGCTATTGTTGCTGATGTCGCGTCAGTGCTGCCGCTGCCCTTGAACGTCCCCACAACAATCAGCACACCGACTGCTTGAAGCCCAAACGGCACAATAGCGGCTGCTGCAGAAGCTCAGCTGCCAAAGATTCACAGAGGGAAGCTCTGCAACCGCCGGCATCTCCACCGGAAACCTGACTGCCATGCAGTAGGCCCTCTGCAAAAGTTGAGAAAGGAATGTACACAACGACCGCTTGTGGCTCAGGCGGCATCAAGCTCAATTGCTGCTCTCACAGGCTCACACAGACCTAGTCACCCTGCGAAAAAAAACTTGTGGTTCCCTGACGGCGCAATCGAATGCACGTCGACTATGTGGTCCCTTGTCTCGAACCGCGGAGGCGACAAGGAACGAGAACATGTAGGTCCCAACGTCCACTGCAGGATCCTGCGGCACCATCGACTCTGCTGTAAAATCCATATCGAGGTTGGCTCGCACACTGGGCTGCCTCCGCCACTTTCTTACGAAACAACATCACGAAAATGCTATAATATAAACTATTCTTAATTTGTTTCAGCGTAACTGCACAACCCTGAAAGCAGCGCATGAAAGCAGCACATGGTCCTCGGGCTCAAGGGAGATGAGGATGCGGTCCAACACTGACACATCCAGCCAGTCCGTCGATCCCTTAAGCAGCGGCAATCCTGAGCGATGGGCTTTTACATCATACTATTTATGGCATAATATATGGTACATAACAGTACATCATATTGGTTTATGATACATTTTGTATATTGCAATATACTAAAGTTACTAAAGTTATGTTGTTGGTGTAGGCAATCGCTTTGGATTCGAGGCGAGCACGACTGGCCAAGGGCACTACTACCAACTACAACTTTATACTACTATGGACTATTCATCGAAATGTGCGGAGCAGGAAGGCCCATACAAGGTGAGAGTAGTAGTAGTACTAGTGGTGGTAGTAGTAGTAGTAGTAGTAGTAGTAGTAGTAGTAGTATTCATTCCCCACGCTGCAGGCAATCCGAGTCTGCTTAGCGAGCTAGCGGCTCCATGATTTCATGGAGTCGGAGCCTCTGTGGGCTCACAGGAGGCAATTTTGCCGTCCCTGTCTTTTCCTCTATCCTCCTCA